CTATATGGACTGCCAACATTACAACAGTGAACAAGTAAATGATAATGGAGTGCAACATGACCCATTTCAGTAACGTTGAATAGGTATTCAGTCGCAAACTTTGTAATCCTTAGCGTCACTTGCTGTAGACAGGAAGGAGCTGACAAATGGTATTTCAGCTAGTAAAGAACTGGGTTTGGATCCAGAAAGGCGAGAGAGAGGAGGAGGAAGAAGTTTGTGAGCTAATGGGAGCACCAGGAGGATGTATGAGTGATCCCTACTGAGAACAAAACAAGGAGATCTCTATCCAAACTATAAAAATACTTAGACTGCTACAATACAATGCAGTGCCTTCGCATACATGACCCCTCTAGTGCAGGAGCCACCCAAAATCATGTGCTGCCATTTGCCTCCAGTTTCAATATTTCTTTTTAATGTTGAAGGCTGTTCCAATACGCTCGTTGCTATGATTGGTAGTCTCACTGATTTCAAGTTTAAAGTGGAATTAAAGTAGAATTCCAGACAAAACCTAACTGCTCTTAAAACTGTTCCTTTCCCTCTCCTAACACCTATTCTGAATAACCTGTGTAAGAAAGAGACAGATAAAGTATACTCACCTATTTTCAGGCCACTCTGGTCCAGTCCCATGATCTAGCATCCCTATATCAGCCAGTGGGGCTGCAGGGGAGAAGAGGGAGCGCCAACAATGAATGGGCCATAATATGCCTATGGTTGACATCATCAGTCGAGGCTTTACTAACTGAACGCTCTCTCCTCTCTCTTGTAGCTGGTGCTGGCTGACACAGGAGAAATCACATGACTGGACCGGAGGAGCCTGAAAATAGTAAGTATACAGATTTTTCCTACACAGGTAAGTAAAAAAAGAAAGTGTTAGGAGGGAGGAGGGGATAGTTTTAGGAACAGTTAGGTTTTGACTGGTATTTTACTTTGGTAATCTCATAGATTTCCTCTTTCTTACACTACTTCTTCACAATAGGTGTTAGCAGGGGGAAGGGTACAGCTTTAGGACTAGTTAAGTTTTGACCAGAATTCTACTTTACCTATAAAGCCTCATGACGTTTTTGCAGCTGCTGTTTTTGACTTTCGGTGTTTTTTTCTACAGCTAGTAAACTCCCAAGCATGTTATCATATGTGTCCATGCACACATAGGCTTTAATCAGCATTTTTTGCCAGGAGCATTTTTAGGCTGGAAAAACCCCCAGAACTAGTGGGTTGCTAGAGGAGTTTTTTTAGCTGTAAAAACGCTCTAACGCTGGTAAACGCGGTAAAACGCAGCAAACCAGCCTTTTTGGGCATTTTTTGAGCAACAATGTTATTTTGTTTTTGTGTAAAAAACGCAAATGCAGAAAACGCTAATGTAAAATGCTAAAAAATGCAGAAAAACTTGCGTTTTTAACGTAACTTTATACAGCTAACACTACTGGTGTTTTTAAAAACGCTTAGTGTGCGTGAAGAATAAAACGGGGTGAAAGTGTAATTTCTAAGTTTCAAAAGATATGCTCCTGGGAAAAATGGCCTTCATTGCTTGTGTGCTTTAAGTCTCTACATTTGCATGCAGTATACCTAGTAGCTGGGATAGCTCCATAGGCTTTTTTTTCTTCAATTCAAACTCTGCACAGCAGATAGCAGGTACAAAAAGCAGACGGTATTAAGATAATAGTTGTGGGAGCATAGTTTTTACAACAGCACATCTTGTCATCTATAGCCTTTCCAAAGCTTTATGATAAAAAATCCTAAAATTATGCTCTAGGCTTTGATGAATTTTAAATTTGATGATTTTTAGTTGGGCCTGCTCCAGTCCCCTCCTGCTTCTAAGCCCTATTATTGGCCAATGAGGTCACCCATTAGAATGACATGCAAATATTGAGGTTAAGAGGTGGGACAAGTCAGTAAATATGCATTTCTGAGCACCAGCACTTATGGACTTAAGTCAACTGCTTTCTTAACATGAAGGAAACTGAAGGGGTCTGCTATGTCCTACCAACATGGATTAGGTACTTGTTTTCTGCTTCCTGTTAATCATCAAGCATAAACCTAACACAAAACACATTTTGGCATAGAATTCTAATTTTGTTAGAGTTCAGTAAGTTCTGGTGCACCATGCATAATATAGTTAACATAACATAATAGCAACATTAATGGCAAATCTCGCATTTCTCCCCCTCAGGTTAGTTACATTTTGAGCATCTCTCTAATTTCACATGACAGTAGTCTGCACGGTGAAGGATGTACAGTAACTTTTGGTCTGGCACAGATCTCTGTTATGATACCTGAAAAAGGAATGACATCAAGAGTTCTTATTCCTGCTATGATGAACCATTTGGAATGCTGTGGTGGTTGTAAAATTCAGACATGAAAAATGAACAAAGCACATCCCACTATAGTGTGCACTAACCTTAATCCATAGCACCAAATCTGGTTCTTCTCTGATCTCTCCTCTTTCTGCATGACTCGCTATTAATAGATTAGGCCGGCACCTCAGCCTCCTAGGAGAAGGTCCGCTCCCAGCACACAGCAGATGACGCACACCCTGAGCTTTATGTTTCTCTGAGCCTGTGAAGGGGGGGGGGGTCACTTTCCAATCAGCTATCAAATAACACTCAGCTCTGTGAATTCAGACCCCGCCCCCTGCTTTCTGCTGCGGAGATGCTGTATAAAATGTGTGTTTTGATAGACCGGAGAGCAGAGAGGGCTTTAGAAAAACATGTACAACTTATGTAGGAGGAACTATTTCATCTTTATGGATCACCTGAGGCCAGTCACTTCACTGGATATATGTAAGAATTTACAACCACTACATATTGTCTACTTTTTCATAAACAGTAGTAAACAGCATTGGGCACATCTGTCTTCTGGAAATTTTTCAGCAAGATAAATAATTTTTTGTTACCTAGTCTTCGAACCTATACAGGGGAAAAATACAGACCATTTAGTTTAAATGTTTATTGTATAGAGATCTTACAGGTATGAAACAGTAATTCAATAACACTGTTCTAGAAACAAAAAAAAATTAGAGAGAATAATAACCAAATGCTTTCTATCATTAAATTACACAGCAACAGTACATCTCGAATATGACCAGTCAAAATCAGATTACAGGATTGGTAAACCTGATTTATAAAGAAATTTATGTAAAATAATGAAAAATAAATATAGGTATTTATCAGAACCAAAGATTTTCAAAGTTCAAGTTCACCCTCCTAGCAGATACCCTTTTAGCAATTGTTAAAATAAATGTGGATACAACCGCTCTGTCATCATCTTAAGTAAAATGAAAGAAAAAAAAAAGTCCTCCTGTAAACCCAGCTGAACAAAAATATCACATATTTATGTCCAAACTCCAATACAGCAGGAAAGGTTAGAGCCACTGACAGGATTTTATTAGGTGTCTGTATTGGGGAGATTTCTTCTTACTACCTCTGAGAACGGGAAGTAATGAGAAACTTTACCAAAGAGGACACTTACAAAAACAAAACCACATTTTATTAGAAACGTTTTACAATGCTTCTCTTGCTGACCTTCCCCGTTAACAAAAATTGGGTAGAAAATCTAACTCTTCCATACTCTATCCAAAACTAAAAAAAATAGCTTGAGGGCTTTAACTTCTGCATAGGCATAGTTTTCTACATACATATTTAAAAATATATAAAATAACACATTTTGTAATGTACTATGTATTCCAGGTTTTCTTAACATTGTTCCCAACTCTTACCTCAATTACCATTATTGGTGCACATTTACCAGCTCTTTGCACAGATCATAATTAAGATGATGAATGGCAGGTACTTTTAGTACAAAACGTACCTGACAATTTTAAAGCTTTAAAAAAAACCTTTAACTAGTACTTTTCATGGTGTGTGTGATAATGTAGCCTTGGAGCAAACTACAAGCTTGATAAGACAAGGGCCAGGGAGATTGACAATGATTTACACTGCACACCGTTTCTCACAGGAATTCACTGCTAAGATATATCTTGCAGCATTTCTCAAAGAGATCTCTTCAAAACAGATTAGTCAGCATAATTGGCTGACAGTATATGTTGGCTGATGTAATGTTCTACAATGTAGTGCAACGGTTTAAAAAAAAAAAAAATGCAGTGATGTTCAGTAGAAGCAAAAGATGTAGTGATAAGCACAGCCAACTGATATTACCCTACGGCAGCATCACATGAGACATTTTCTCTTAATGCCACAGAGAAAACATATTTGAGCTGATGACTGCTGCATCATCTTGGTATGGTGGCCAACAAGTAACACAGTCTATGGCCCATGTTCATTTACCTTCTCCATTTGTATTGTAACAGTACTGTCTCCATATTGTAAAGTGCTACGAAAACAGTTGGCGCTATATAAATCCTGTATAATAATAATTTATCTCCAGCAAAGGAATAGGTTGTAAAAAGTTTCCAAAAGGGATCATATTCCATTAACAACTGCCTAAGTGGAGATTCCCTCATGCTTTGGAGTGAGTTTTTGCTCACTTAAGAGTTATGTCTTTGGGGCAGGAAATGAAAAGAATTTTCTTAAGTAGAACACAGAAAATAAAACCCTGATAAATCAATTCATCAATCACTGGATTGCTTTTTTTTTTTCTACAGATTTAGATTATTGCTGTACCATGACATCAAACTAAAAATAATAAAAAGTAAGGGTTCTATTTACAAAGAATCACACAGCTTTTACCCAAGATTCACACATTATTTAAATTGATTTATCTTAGAAAAATGCATGAACCATGGGTGAAAAGTGTTTAAATCTTATACCCCTAAACATCATACATATTAAAAAAACCTCTGTATACACTCACATTTGTCCCTGGAAAAGAAATTCACCCCAAATGCCATTTGAAAGTAGTTCATTACAAAAGGACAGGGCATATTGGGTTTTGTTGTATAATTTAGCAAGAATATTACAGGTCATGATATATGAATTAGTTTTTAAAATGTTTCCATCTAGAACATACTTTTGTTTTACCATTTTAAACCCAGAGCCATTTTGGCTATGCAAGTCACAACTTATCTTTTATTTACAAGTATACAGAAAGACAGTATTTACAAACAAGCTGGAACCTTTGTACAGAAATATGCCTGGTGGTTGGCAGAGAGGGAGCTTAAAAGACATATCTGGTGTAGAAAATCCACTTAGTCCAGTAGGCATCATTGTCACATTTATGAGCCAAATAACCTAAAAATTGAAAAGAAACAAATTACAAATTAACCAATAGCATAAGACATAAATGTATTATACATTTAATAATATATTTTTCTGCAAGGCCCTCTTTAATACTAATCTCAGATAAAATGTTACCTTTAGGTGTAACGCTAAAGGGGTTAACTAAAAACAAAAAAAGGAAATTAGTTAAAAAGGAGGACACATTAGGGGAAATTTACTAAAATTGGACATTGCAAAATCTAGTGCAGCTTTGCATAGAAACCAATCAGCTTCTACGTTTTTTTGCCAAAAAAAAAGTTGAAGTTAGAAGATGAATGGTTACCGTGCACAACTGCACCAGATTCTAAGTGCTCCAGTTTTAGTAAATCCCCCCCCCCCCCCATTCTGTCTCCTGCCATCTAGCACCAAATTTGAAATGATAAGTTCACCTTTTCTAACATATTCAGGGTGTAAAACGTAAAATGTTAGCACTGCAGCTCCCCCGTGTCCCCCTGAGTCCCTGCTGTGACAGCAGACTAGGCCTTGCGCCCGCATCATTCATTTACAAAATTCTTTGTGGCTGTCGGCTTGTAATTCTCAATGAACCACCACAGCGTTATTGAGCGCTGTGGTAGTTCATTCTCTCTTCCTGTCTGTGTATATCTGCCTGCTCAAACGAGGTACGAGTACACAGATATACAGACAGGTCTGCAGGAGTCCAGCATGGCACCTGCAATCTGCTGATCATGTGTGCAACGCTTTTCAGGGTCCTAGCAAACAAAATAATAAATGCACATTTTTTTTACCTGCAAAAAAGATGTGCATTTATTATTTATTTATTTTTACAAAGGTGAACTTACCCTTTAAAGCCCAGTTCAAGTCACAGAAATAGATATGCATTCAGACCCATCAATATTTAAATGATAAGTTCACCTTCGGAAACATGTTACGTTTCCCCTTATCTCTCCCTGTCTCTAACAGCAGGTCAGGGATCTTCTCCCTGCACCTGCTATCACAATCACACAGTTCTGTGAATGAATAGACTACAAGTACTGAAAGTCTTTGCGGCTGATGGCTTGTAGTTATCCATTAACTTCTAGGACCCTGGTGAGCATCGCGTAGCTCTTTGATTCTTCCTGCACTGAAGAAACTGCCTTCCTGTATCAAGGTACAGGCAGACAGCTGTACCAACAGTCTGCAGGAGCCTGACATTGCACCCGCGATCTTCTGATGGCGGGTGCAATGTGTTCCAGGCTCCTAAGAAAATACATAGTAAATGCACATTTCTTTACATGAAAAAAAAAGTTAACTTTCCTTTAAATATGATTTGAGAATTCCAATAGGCACCAGAGTAAGCCAGTGCTCCCACTAATCTGTACTCTGTAACAAGGTTGGTTGTCATTAAAGGATAAATTCACCTTTAAAAAATAAATAAATAATAAATGCGCTTTTTTTTTTTTTTTTTTTTTTAAATCAGCAGATCGCAGGTGCAATCTCAGAATCATGCAGACTATCACAGTATCTGTCTGCTTGTACCTTGTACAGACAGGCAGTTTCACAATGACAAGACGACTCAAACTACCTAGAGCACTCACTAGTGTCCTGGTAGTTTGTTGAGAACTACAAGTCGTCAGCTGCAAAGGCTGCTGGTACGGGTAGTTAATTCATTCACAGATCTCTGTGAATGAATGACTTGGCCAAAGGGGGGTGGGGGGGAAGGGTGGGGTGGGGGGTTGAAAATCGGCAAAAGGCTGCAAGAGTGGGAACATGTTACATGTTCCACCATAAAAGTGGATGGAACATGTAACATGTTCCCAAAGGTGAACCTATCCTTTAGGGTGAGTTCACACTGTAAGGAGAGCTGCCACAGTACTTTACTACTGCGACAGCTCTCCGATGCCAGCTGTACTAGGGGCAGTGTTGTGTGCGATTCAGCACATCACACTGCTCCCTTTCTTTATTCTTTGTTTTATAAAAAGCTTTATTTTTATTTGAAGTGTACAAAATGTACACACTTCAATCACTGAAAATTGGGCTGCCTGACATTGCAGTGCAATTCGGGCCAGTACGATTCGATAAAATGCAGCATGTCTGCATTTTATCGCAGCACTAGGCTGCGTTGGTATGCATAGGAAACAATTGTTTCTTATGTGTATCTGCGGGGACAGGTGTTTTACCAAACCAGAAAACGTTTTTTACCGCACATAGTGTGAACTGGCCCTTAAGTCTGTGTGAGAATTCCTATGGTTTGGGGTATGGCTGTTACTCAGCACTGGAGTGGGAGGACAGAAAGCAGCAATATTACATAGAAAAAGGCATTTTAGAGAATTCCCTGACATAGATCAGGCACAAATAGCATGCAGGCCTACAGAACTACATTTAAAAATAGAAAAATGGGAAACTTTAACTACTACTGTCGCATTCAGCAAGGGCATGCAAAAAAGAAGAAAAAAGAAAAAAAACTGTAAGAGCAAAATGCAATTACACACAGCAATCAATCAAATAATAGTTTACTCCAGTCAGGATAGTTTTGGTTGGTAACCATGGATTACTGTATTTTGCCTTCCTAAATAAATGTGTTTGACATTAAACATAAGACATTAAATAAAAAGTCAATACATTATTGAAGCTTATATGGGGTATTTAGTATATATCTTGTAATTTTGTCACTAAACTGGAAACTAAGAAGGCATGTTCGATATCCAATTTGTGTATTCAACAAGGCATTGTTTACACAGGTGTCAGTGAAAGTAGGTGGTTTTAGTTCAGTATTTCAATAGAAAATCTTTCTTCAGCAAAAAAAACAGGCATTCAGGAGGTGGCAGTATGTAGAATCTGATTGTACAGTCTTCTTTAAAATTACAGATAACTATGTACTGTAGTACAGGGGCCTGCCTGATTGAATACAATATGAATGATTTTTATAGATATCCCATACACTTTTGGTAAACCTAAAGTAAACTGAGTCGGTTTGTAATGTGCATGCCCAGCTAAATTGTGTAATGCACTCCAGCAAACCCATCAAGTTTCACATACTCTTCAGTCTTTACATCTGTTTTCCACTCCCTTGAAAAAGACAATCAAATCATATAGTTTCTAGAAGTTTATATTCACCCAACTTAGGTAAGTCTTCATTCTTGCATACAATACATTTCCAAAAAATTCCAGTTGCTGCAGTAGTTAGACAGACCCTAAATCGATAATATAAAATCAGTGTATACTTACACAATCATACAAAACATCATAAAAACGTTCCACAACGCAATGAAGATCCGGAAGTATCGGAGGCTGAGCAGGAATTCACGAATGTTGTCTCCTGAAATAAATGGAAGAAATAGAATATGCCTCTAGATGAGGAAAAGCAATATGCAGAGCAAACATTGATTGCCCTACCTTGGGGTGGAAAAGGATTGGGGAGATAGGGAGGGTGTTACAGCCAGAATACAGCTCATCCTTAGGAACCCACTGGAACAATTTACCTGCCAACAATTCTTCATAACTTGAATATCATTTTGGGTAGACAGGCCAATAAAATGGCTACTAAGGTCTCACACCATATGTGCAGAAAAATTGATGTACAAATGTTGCAGATTTGACTTGCAGAGAATACTTTGAAGTTGTTTACGCTACGTGGTTTGTTCGTTTTTTTAAGGTAGGTCTCTACAAGCACAGGAAGAAAATAATTGTTTATAGGAGTCCTGTTCACACCATAACACCACTTGATGTTGTGAGGTTTTTTTTTCTGCACACAAAACTGCATACATATTGCAGATTCCTACACAAAAAAAAAATCTGCACGATACCAATGTTGTGGTATGAACAGGCCACATAGAACACAATTATTTTCTTTGTGCCCGTGCAGAGACAGGTGCAGAAAATCTGTGAATGAGGCCTTAGGGCCAATTCACACCAGTGCGTTGATCTGCATTTTAGCACAGCTGTAAAATGCAGATCAATGGAAGGACATCTGAAAAACAATTTCCAATGTGTCCTGTTCACACCAGAACGCTGCATTGACCTGTGCTGTGCTAAGATGCAACATGTATGTATTTTAGCACAACACAACAGATGTAAGCTTATGTAAATGGATGTCAACATAATGAACAGGATATCCTGTGAAAATGCAGTACACTTTAACACATGCTAAAATGCATGTCAATGGACGTCAAAATGCATGTCAACGGATGTCAGCGAGCCACTAAAATGGCTGGAAATGTACATCCATTTTCTATACATTTCAGCGTAAGTCAGTGTTAATTGGCCCTAACGCAGCACATCTGTCAAAAAACACAGCAAGAATAGTAGCAATATGGAAATCTGAATAGCCAATAGAGAATCAACCACTAATATTTTATGATAATATCTCCTAGATTGTAAGCTCCAAGGAGCAGGGCCCTCCTTTCCCTCTTGTGTATTGAACTGTATTGTTGCTGTATTGTCTCCCATTATATTGTTTTGTTGCTGTATTGTCTCCCGTTAAAAAGCGCTGAGCAAACTGTTGGTGCTATATAAATCCTGTAATAATAATAATAATAATGTTAGATTGTAAGCTCCCAGGATCAGGGCCCTCCTAACCCTCTTGTATTGAACTGTATTGTTGCTGTATTGTCTCCCGTTATATTGTAAAGTGCTGAGCAAACTGTTGGCGCTATATAAATCCTGTATAATAATAATGTTAGATTGTAAGCTCCCAGGATCAGGGCCCTCCTAACCCTCTTGTATTGAACTGTATTGTTGCTGTATTGTCTCCCTTTATATTGTAAAGTGCTGAGCAAACTGTTGGCGCTATATAAATCCTGTATAATAATAATCTTAGATTGTAAGCTCCCAGGATCAGGGTCCTCCTATCCCTCTTGTATTGAACTGTATTGTTGCTGTATTGTCTCCCTTTATATTGTAAAGCGCTGAGCAAACTGTTGGCGCTATAGAAATCCTGTATATTAATAATGATAAACATTTTTGGAGTAGCTGCTCTGGAGGGATTTTTGCTACTCTATACAACATCGATGTTATTCCTAGAAACAGGAAGAATG